CACTGGACTCCGAACTCGAGGACTCAGGCGGGGTTGGTTTCCCCGGGACGCGATCCCTGGTTCCCCGGTGGCTGGAGCCTGAGCCGCCGCCTCCCGCCTCCGCCCCTGCGCGGTGGGTGGTGGCTTCACTCCCTTTAGAGCAGCAGTTTGTCCCCTTTACATCACCGCGGCAGGGGTGGGGCGCGCGACTCTCCGAGTCCTCCGAAAAGCTGGAGAAATCCTGACGCTTTCCCGCTCCTCCGTGGCAGAAACTCGGAGATCTGGAAGTGTCCGATTTATTCTGCGCTTCCTCCTTTTCCTCTCGGCAAGCTTTAGGACTCACAGGATTTAGGGGACCTGGAAAGCTCTGCTTCTCAGACCCGCACGCCCTCCACCTCTGGAACCCCGCGGACCACTCGCCCCGTGTACCCGGTTTCCTGGCAGCCAGCTCCTCGCCAAGCAACCGAGTGCGCTCTTCTTCTTTTTTGTCTCCAGGTCACTTTCCAGCGGCCAATTGCTCACGCCTTCTTCCCTGCCTCGCCTCCCACCCTTGTTTGAAGGATAATGTCAGAGGACTTCAAAGACACATTCTTCCTAGCAAAAGAAGAGCAGCAGCAGCAGCAACAACAACAAAATAATCCCTATCTGTTGCCACGGAGTTTCTTCCGATTCACAGGGACCTCAGGGACCCTGGGTGGTGCGGTGTTTGAGAGCCCGCTTACTGATTAAGCCAAGGGCATGCTGTGGAACCTGCCACCCAGATCAAGAGGGAGGGAGATGTGCAGTCCGTCCGCTTCCCTCAAGATTCACTTACAGCCTTGAAAATCCTGGGGCAGCTCTGCTGTCCTTGAGGGTCCTTGTGAGTTGGCATCCGCTCACTGCCATGCGTTGTATGTCTTTTTTCAAGTTTTGGTTTAGTGACCCTATAGGGCAGAGTAGAACTGCCTCAAAGGGCTTTCAACCCTGTTATCTTTACAGAAGCAGATGGCTACGCCTTTCTCCTGTGGAATGCGTCCTTAATAAGACCACCCAAACCAGTGAGCCAAACCCGCTGCCATCAGAAGTCCTGCTCCTAGTGTGTTTCAAATCCGGGAGCAGAGAAGCTCATTTTTCCCCAGCAGAGAAGCTGCTGGCTGGAACTGCTGAGCTTGCGCTAAGCAGCCCAACGCCTAACCCAGGGCTACTTAGGAAGAGAACGGGGTAGATAACTGTGATTTATTTAGGTGGGGTTTGTCTCCTGTTCCTTACCCCTCCCGTTTGAGGACTGCAAGGACGCATTCGGGTGTCCCACCACCGCATCCCTGTTTGCTGTGCATCTCTACCTGGAGGTGGGTCTTGGCTGGGCAAGAAACCTCTTTCTGGCTTTCCAGGTTTCCTATTGGGTCAGAGACTTGGCATTTTCTCTAAACTAGAGTTCGGAGTGTCCCTCCAGGAAAAGCTTGTTTCCCACTACGGAGATGGCAAGAACAGCATCCATCGCTATTAAAGAAGAGCGAGGACCTGATCTGAAAGGAGCTAAACTCGCCCGACAGCGGCTACTCCGGGAGCGCTGTTGAGGACACCAGAGTGGGAAGTCGCCTGGCTTCTGCGCTGGAGATTTGATAATTAGGAAGTTTTCTGGACTGGAAAGAAGTATTGGGAAGGAAGAGGGGGAAAAAATCACCTACCTATTACTTAGTTACACTGGTCAGTGGGAGGCCAGCCTCAGAAGTTGATGCAAAGCGGGAATAGAGGCTAGGCTTCTAAGAACAGCCAGGGGGAGCTGTTTTCAGATTAATTCTACAGTAAAAGAGGGAAAAACACCACCACCCCCCCAAAACCCCACTTCATTCATATGGTTACCTATCTATGCTAGATACACAAACATGATTTTATTGATTAAGTATCCTGAAAGGATAATATCACAACATACACCTTTTTGTGTGTGCGTGTGTGTAATATAAAACTTTCCTCAATGATGGAACAAATCCCCAAACTCTGCTGTTCACTGTCATCATAAAGATTCCAGCAATGGCTGATTAAAAAAAAAGCTGTTTATTTCTCTCCCGCCTCCTTTCCGCCCCACAATACCCCCCACTCCATCAACCATCAAAATCTGTTTCTTATGGTATGAAAACTCTTTTTTTCTAGAATTTTTCTTTTTTAACAGTAGTCTTCACACCATATTTATCTCTCTGTGATTGACTAACCATTCAGCACACTGTCTTCCACATTCAATCAAGTCATGAAGTCTTTGACAGTTCATTACCCTTTAGTGATGTAGAGTGTTGTGTTCCATTTTATTTATTGAAATAGATGAACGAATCCTTCCAGCTTACTGAAGCACTTCGATTGGTATTCCATCAATTCCTGGAGCCTGGATTTTTGCTTATTCCTTCAGTGAAGTTTGGCCTTCTTCCTTCAATATCATTGGTCCTTGATTTTGAAAGGGTTGGGTGTTCTTTTTGGTCCCATTCTTTTCGGTACAGAGAATGTGTGTATTCATTTCCTCTTCGTTTGTTTCATCCTGCATCATTAAGATACTTTGCCCATAGAATCTTTTAATATTAAAACTTGAGGCTTGATATTTTCTTCAGTTCTTCTAGCTTTGAATATACTGAGTATGTTCTTCCTTTTTGGTTCTCTAAGTATAAATGTTTGCACATTTTATTGTAATAATTTACTTGAGCTGCCCTTTGACATTTTCTGTTTAACTCTTTTAGTTCATAATTTTTTGCCTTTGCTTTAGCTACTCTATGTTCGAGACCAAGTTTTAGAGTCTCCTCTGACATTCACTTTGTTCTCTTCTTTCTGTTCTGAAAGGATTTTTTTCTTTCTTCATGTATGATATTCTTGATCACATCTCACAGCTCGTCCAGTCTTTTGTCATTAACATTCAATGTGTCAAATCTATTTTTGAGATGCTCTCTAAATTCAGGTGGGATATATTCCAGGTCATATTTGGGCTCTCTTGGACTTGTTTTAATTTTCTTGAACTTCAACCTGGATTTGCTTATGAGCAATTGAAGGTTTCTTCTACAGTCAGTCCTTAGCCTTGTTTTGACTGCTATTATTGCGCTTCTCCATTGCCTTCCCTTAGGGGTCATCATTTTGATTCCTGTGTATTCCGTCTGGTGAAGTACATATGTCCAGTTACAGTTTATGTTCCTGAAAACCAGTATTTGCATCAAAGAAGGCACTGGTCTTGAAAAACCTATCATGCAAACTCCAGCTTCATTTCTATCACCAAGGCCACACATTTCAACTACTTTTCCTCTTTGTTTGCAGTTTTTATTACAACTGAAAATATTTATTTATATATCTCGATCGCATGTTTGATCAATTTCAAAATAAAGAAGCTGGTAGAATTCTTCCATGTCTTCATCACTATAGAGTTTGCCACATAAATTTGAATAATAGTTGTATTGACTGGATTCCTTTGGATTTGGATAGATCTTATCCTATTGCTGACAGCACTGTACTTCAAGATAAATCTCCAAATGTTCTGTTTGATGATGAGTGCACAAGTGCTATGTGCACTACTCTTGAATTGGTCATTCCTGGTGTAGTAATATGATTGATTCAAAATGACATAGAATAACAATCTATGTCAGCTCTCTAATGCCTAGCATATCAATTGTGTGTTCCACTTCATTGCTGATTAACTGTCAATGTTCCTAGAGTCATACTTTATATTTTGTACTTTCTGATTATTACCAGATATTTCCAGGTGTTTCTATTTATTTTGAGTCATGCTCATCAGCAAATGAGGCCCTAAATAAGGTCTAGAATTTTTTGTTTTGCATTGAATTCTGACTTACAGTTTCTTGAACTGAAATAAATTTTTTATTTTCGAAGTTAACCCTTCATTTTGTTGCTGTTGTTGTTGTTGTTGTTATTATGGTTGCATTATGTAACTAAGTCAAATATTTCATAACGTTTTTGATGTTCAATATCTTTTAGAGGAGGCAGTGTGTTGTATTAGAAAGAGCGTAGATACTAGATTCAAACAAATATATACTCAACTCTTGGTGAAATATCTACTAGTGGCAATCAATGTCTTTGGGTGCTCGAACTCTAGAGAGATGGTGCATAATTGTAATTTATCTGTGTCAGTTACTCTGATCCAAGAGCCGCACTAGAGCTTATTTATAAACAAAAACTGTTCCGTTAATAGCATCAAAAGGTATTTTCATTCAGTGAACAGTACCAATTACTCATCTGTATCAAGTATTATATATGCCATTCTACTGGGTACCATGACATCTTGACAGTGATTCATTATAGATTTCTAGAACTCAATCCCATGTAGTTTTAAAAATGTATCTGCCTTAATCTGACTCGTTCTACATTCAAGCAAAATGAAAATAAAAAATAAAAAACCAGTTGCCACTGAAAACTTGTGATTCATGGCGACCTTATTTGTGCAGAGTAGAGCTGCCCCATAGCGCTTACAAGGCTGTGACCTTTCATAAGCAGATTACCATGTCTGTCTTCCTAGGCACCGCTGTGTGAGTTAGAACCACCAGCTTTCATCTAGTACTCCAGCACTTAACTGGTTCTCCTACCCCAGGCCTCCATCAAAGGAAACCAGATCTATGGAAACACTCATTATTTGTGTATCCTACTGCTATGAAATTTACCCAGGGGAGAGTAAATAAACAGTCATCCTGGAATGCATGAATTCTGTTAACATTTCTGTGGGATGTTGACTTTTTCTTAGAGTAATTTGCACTTGCTCTGTATTATAAAAACTTAATCTCTCCTTTACTCACA